ATGGTCAAGAATCCACATCTGAATCTCAACCAGCGAGATTCGAGAAACGCGAAGAGCCTACGGCTTTCTTCTACATCATCTTTGGCCTCGTGTATGAAGCGCTTGTCACTTATTCTGCTGATTCAACCTCTGCTTCGTCAGCCCGTCAATCACTCGTGGTGTCGGCTCTGCAAGCTCTGAAGTGCCTAGTACGGCCTGAATATTCCGGCAATGCTATCAAGGAGCCAACAATTTTTGACGAATTTGTCAGTCTGTGTTACCGGATAGCGATGACAGAGCCTGCAAATATTCAAGTGCACCTTTTGGAGGTGCTCTCCTCATTTGCATCTTCTCAAAAGCACCGGTCTAGGTACGTGCGTCCGTTATTCTAGACAGGGCTTCGTCATTGATCAATCACAGTTCTGGAGACGAACTTTCTCTTACTTCACCAAAAGCCCATTGTCTCAGGATATGTTCGTATATTCTACAACACTCTACACCCGCTTTTCGCGGTCAGGCCATACGTTAGTATTCATAACACTTGGTCAACAACTTACTGACCCTCTCACACAGAAGGTGAACTATCTGACCGAATTAAAATGATCACCACCGCATTCTTGGCCATCTATGCAGTCGCTTCTTCAATAAATTCTTCACAAAGAGAGGAGATAAGATCAGTGGCGATCCTTCTATATGGCGGTATGTCAATCCTTCGGCTTTGTCTCCGGAGCTGAAATGAAAATTACTCCTAGACCTCTTAAAGGACGAATCTTCCGAAATTGATCTTGTTGGTCCAACCCTTCCGGCTCTGAAGACGATACTGGTCGATCTTCCACTGACTTCGGGTCCTGGTAATCAGGATCTCTATGAGCGCTTGGTTCATGGACTGCTTTCCTCGTGTCTCTTGAATATCGACGCAATGAGGTTTGTCTCCGCTTCAATAGCGTTTGACGAGCTGCTCATATGTTTTTTTTGAAGTGGGCGCAGTGGACTGATCTCCACCAAGAAGGTCAAGAACAACATGTTGGCTGCGGTCCTCATCCTAACTGTCATACCGTCGTCTGTCAAAGTGTCTCAAGCGGTCATTGAACATTGTTGCTTCTTGATCTCACAAAAACCCTTGGACTCGAGCGAGGTAATAATTCTGTCGTTCAAGTAATGATCCGACTGACTTATGTTTACCCAGTTATCGCTCACTGCAGCTCACTGTGCTAAAACACTTGTCGTGGCTTCAAGTACAGGAAATCCCATGCTTCATCATTGTGTGCGGCTTTTGGTCCCTGGACTGGTGGAATACGTGGCGAAGATGGCTCCTCTGGTACACGACGGTACAATCACGGAAGCTCAAATAACGGCCATCGGCGAAGTATGGAAGGCGTTCTCGGCTTTCTTCTCATCAACACCTGAAGCTCATCGTGAGTGTAATCAATATTCATGCATGGTGATATTAATTAAATTCATCTCCCTCTTCAGGCGTCCGTCTACTCGGGGTCTTCTTACCCACGATTGCGTTACTGCTATCTACTTCTCAGGTTCCTATGACGCCTGTGGTGTCGCAGACGGTATCTCAGTTACTACAATATGCGACCTCGTCACCTGCGGCTTTCAAAGATGCCGCAGCCATGTTAGACACCAGCACTCGCGAACTGCTGGAACAGTCCCTTCGTCGGGCCGTCGGAGGCGGTACATCGACAGCATCAAACGCTGCAAAACCACAGATCTCATTGCGTTCTTTCTAGAAACTGCGGTCAGTGTTGAATGTATTTCTCATTTAGTGTATCCTTGTCATTGGATGGACATGTACAACATTAATTTCTAAGTTTTCTTCGCACAATCATGCATTCGCTTGTGTTCCTCCTAGCCATCCTTTTGACAGTCATAGTTACAGAAAAATGCCCGACCGTTGCAAATACCTGCGTAAAATGAGAACGAGGCTAATAAGTAGAAACTGAACGTACATACCACCACACTTCCTCTAAGGGCCAGTATTACCACAACTAAAGCACCGCTGCCACGGTCCAGCCTTCGTAGTCTAATTTCCTCCTCCATAATCACCCCAAGTAGGAACGAAATCTGTATTCGTGAACACTCCAAAAAGATACGTTCTCCCCGTCTTGTCGTCCGCCATCAACTGTTCAATGTCGTTCTCTTTGAAAGACATCTAGCAAGATTGACGCAGCAACCCATAAGGCTGGTAATGAAGAACGGGTGCATCGTGTCGTATTTTCATTGCGCGCACCGCCATTCCCATTCTTGCCCAACGATGTGCAACGCCTTTTCCAGTACGAATCCTTGGCTTCAGTGAATTTTCTTGCACGAAATAAATTATCCCCTTCTTGGCTCGAGATTAGATTCGATCACTATGCTTTTCTTATAAAGATATCTGTTTATCAAGGCTGGCCTCCAGCATCATCTGCTGCAGCGACAACAGGTTCATTTCGCCAATATCGATAGCATCATTGTGAGAGTTAAAAGAAGTCATTTCATCGTTGTTAGAGCGCTCAGGGAATCTCAAGTTCGATTCGCTTGATAAACTATGCGGAGCTTGCCGGTTGCCGATTGTTGCCGAGGGTCGCCGCTACGGCACATGGATGACGCATTCTGACGGGCCATCACAACTCAAATTCAATACAAATGCTAGCGCTCTATAGAGTGCGTACTCATGAAGAGGGAAACGGAATGCTTGGTAGCTCTCTTGTGACCCGACGCTGACACCCTCGTATCTAAATTCAGCACACCAGATCCGAGTCCGCAGCTATTTTATTATACAACCTGTTCTTGGATTACTATTCATCTTCTCTCGACGAGCACCGGCTTTCCTCATGAAGGTGATCATCATTGGCGCTGGAATTGGGGGGCTATCTGCCTATCACTCTCTCAAGAAACATCTCGCGGATGACAAGATTACTATCAAAATTTATGAATCCCATGGACCACCTGACACCACAAAGGTCGGGGGCGGCTTAGGCCTTGCTCCAAACGGACTGGGTGCCATCGCCTCTATCTCGCCAAAAGCCGCTGAATACATCCAGACAAACGGGTATCCAGGTCCAATCTTTACTTTCCGTAATTCTTCTGGCCGTTTGCTAGGCCATTTCTGGAATGGACGCAAGGAACGTTATGGATTCGACCAGATGATGATTCGCAGGGCTGTTGTGCACGAGGCGCTTCTCCTGGATGTCCCTGTGGACGTCGTTACTTGGAATTCAAGGCTTCAGTCGGTTCGAGAAATCGATGAAGGTGTAAAAGTGGAATTTTCCGATGGTTCCTCTGATACGGCCGACCTCGTGATTGGTGCCGATGGTGTCTGGAGCGTGGTTCGAGAATGCATTTTTGACAAACAATACGCCCCCTTTTACGAGTAAGTTACCAAGATTCACTCAATAGCTGAGATACTAACTCGATAACAGTGGGTTTGCAGGTGTAGGTGGCTTCATCCCTCTCTCCCGCCTCTCTCCCTGCCTCAGAGAAAGCCTCAGATCCGAAGGCGTAAGCATGACCTTCGGCTCGCCTGGATTCTTCGGCTACACCCTCACATCTCCATTCAACCCCACCAAGGACGATGACTTAAACACCAACTACATCCAATGGTGGTCAATCTACGAATCCCCTGCCCCACCAACGCGCTCCGAATCAGACCCCTCAACTGTCCGCGCACATCTCCTCGCCCAACACGCCTCATGGAAATCGCCTCACGATTCCCCCGGTGCGCCCGTGTATGAGGAGATCATCAACCTCGGATGCACGACGGATCACGAGTTCCTCGTTCTACCGCGGTATGAAGCGCCCCGCATGCCGTCCTGGAGCTCTCCCTCCGGTTCCGGACGGATCGTCCTCCTCGGTGACGCAGCACACGTTATGCCTCCCGACTCCGGGCAGGGCGCGTCGTGCGCCGTCGAGGACGCAGTCGCCATCGGGGTTCTGTTGCACAGGTACCTTGAGGTCGACGGTCTTGATATCAAGGATGCGCTGAGGAGTGTGGTGCATGCGTATGAAGGTGTGAGGATGAAGAGGGTCTGGAAGATTTTGGATCTAGCGAAGCGGAATGGGAATGGTAAGAAGAAGCAGTCGTGGTTGCAACAGTGGATCCGGGACTTGTTCTTGGGGATTTTTTGTGCGTAGTTAGATGTGTGGTTTGATTTTCTCGCTGATTCATTTATTCCGTTTCCTTAGGCAAGCTTCCAGAATGGATCAATGACGGGTTATATATGTACAATGTAGAGGCCGCAATCGATCAGTATGCGAAACAATGAACAAGGGCATGGTAATTCGTCACTTGATTGTGTGAAATGGAATAGAAACAGCTCATCAAGCCATAGTTCCCTATAGCGTCGTGCATCAACCTTTGCTATATCCTACAATTGTGAAGCTATTATTGTGGTAAAAAGAACTTCGTGATCTCCACATTCGAATTTGTCCATCTTTCGGCAAATGAGAACGTCCCGAGAAGTGACCCCTGAGCTGACGGTCGTGCGTGTCTACAAGACTAAAAGTCTCGTGGTTGTGAATTCAAGTTGTGCAAATTGAGAATCATACAAGGCTGACGCAAGGCTCCTGGCCGACGGCCATCACGCTTAGTTGGCATACTAGTAGCTCAGAAGAACTAATTGAAGCTCGAATCCCAACTCTAGTCTCGCAGCACCCCTCTTGAATACCCTGCGGTGTCTGCTGATCTCAATTGTCTAGCACGCTCATGAAAATAATCATAAACGCTATGTATCCGACCAGCTATGATATTCAATGGAATTCAAGACTTCAGTCAGTTTGAGAAACAGCGGAAGAGGTGAAATTTGCTGACGGTTCTTCACATTTGGCTGACTTATCTATCTCTTTTGAGTCTTTCGGGGTTAACGTACTTATTATGAGTGTTTCAAGTCGATCTCGTTTTCGTTCGCACGGTAGAAGTTGAGAAAAAGCGCCTTAAGTAGCCACCGGTTGACGAAGTTCGATCTCTTGTGGTCTCCCTTTACTCGATAGGTGGGAAGGATGGCATACAAAATCAAATAACTAGATCAAACCAATTCCGGTACGGGGAATCGAACCCCGAGCTGCCGCGAATATATCCCCACATTATTGCGATGAAAGGCGGCAATGTTAGCCGTTACACCATACCGGATTGAAATTTGATGAAGAATCTCAGATCGAGAGGCGAGCAAAAACGAAATATTACTGTTCGTGGCTCATGTTTGGTAGCGCTCAAGCTCAAGGTTAATTAATTACACCACGAAAATGTGGCAAAATTATGGACTATTTATGTACTCGACGTGTCCGAACACGATCTTTCCAGCAATGATTTAGGTTTCCGCAACCCTTATGTAAATATTCGCGATTCTTGCTTTTTCACCCCAACCACTGCCGTTGAGTAAAAGATGTCCTCCCAGAGTTCCGCAGGATATCGTTAATCTCATAATTGATCAACTTTATGGCGACACCAAGAGTCTCTTACGTTGCGCGACGGTGTCCAGTTCTTTTCTTCCACCAAGCCAAAAATGTCTCTTTTTCAGGATCAGTCCCAACGAAAGCTGACATACAAATCGACATTTGAAGCTTTTGAAAGTGCTCCAGACGCATCCACGTCTTGCATCATATGTTCGCGAACTCTTTGTCAACGGCACAAGCTGGGTTGGCACGGAAAAAACCTTCCCGAAACTTCTTTGCCTGCTCGCAGAGGCCTCTGCATTACAAGTCTTTTCATTCATTGCATTATATCGCGATCCCAGTGCAACCTGGATATCTCTCTCCTCTGAAATTAAAATCTCTGTCTACAAAGTCTTACGATCTCCTCTCCTCCGGTGTGTCGAGATACAGGGTGTCATAGCTTGTACCTTCCCGCTCGCGATTTTCAACATTGCCTCTCCCGCATTACAGCGACTGTCGTTCGTTTGCATCCATGATAGCTACTGCAACCATCAAAATTCCTGCGATCTTGACTTTGCAGTTGTTTCTCCTCCATTTCCTGTGAAATTTTTGGAATGTCTGGAGCCTCATGGAAACCAGCTGATGAGAGTTGTGAAGTACCTTGAAGACCCTTCGTGCTCTATCAATATTCGCCGTCTTCGTGAACTCTCCATTTCAGGCTGGTCCGACCAGACCCAACGAATTGCAGCTGTAGCAGTCAAACACGCTGCAAACACTATCATATCCTTGATCTGGGATCCGCCTCTCGATACCCGTACGTTTTGTCCCGTCGTCAAAGTTGCGTAAGATTGACTAGCACTTCTTTTTCAGTGTCCCCTCTACCTTACTTGAGCATACTCCTGTCATTACGCTTTCTTTCTCTGGATGCTAAGGACATCCAGCTTCGCACCATACGAAACGTATTTGTTCAATGCCCACTTCCGGAGACAATCGAAGAGATCACTATCATCCTTATCTCAGTGCCTTACCCTTGGGATCATCCAGCACTCGAGGCACTCGATGCGCGCCTCAAATCTCGGAATACAAAAACCAGAGGTCTTGATAGGGTAATGGCCGCGATTTGCAACGACTATCATCATTACCCTCGACTCCAGTCCATACAAGTGCAAATCCTCGTTTCAGAGTACAAGAGCGTAAGAGAATTCGGGGAGCGCTATGGTTTGACCGAATGGTTTCCCCTTTCGTGTGCTTCTGATCGGTTTATTGGGCGTATCGGGAATATCATGGAGATGGAAGAAGTTGTCAAGAGCCTTTCGAGAGTATGATCAAAAACTCTGTAGTATATAGGAAGTTTGGCATGAAGATGTCCTCGCTGACCACTTTTGACCATATTACATGCAGGAAGAGCAACAATTTGAATCAGAACCCATTCCATCTTAGCGTGAATCCGGCATGGACCGCCTTCCGTTGCTCGAAGATCTCGGACGTATAAAGAACAGGAATTCGTTTCAATATCTTCCCGAAGAAAATATCTGTTCGTTGGAGCTGAATTGAAGATCTGGGAGGATGGAGAAGGAAATCTTAACGCTCCAGAGTCTTGAAGACCTCGACTGCATAACCACCATAGCCAGGTCACCCCAGAAGGAACCGGATGCAATCGTTGAGAGTAGCCCTGAAGTCACAATATATAAAGTGATGTCCAGGCCTTCGAGAGTATGAGGTCCAACATCAGGACGAGCATCACTCAAAAGCCAACAGAGGGAGTGTACGACATCCAATCCAATTGTCTGAAGACACCGCATTCGCATTCCTCGAGCCTTGAAGTGTAGACTTCTCCCGAAGTCACTGTTATGACGGGGACGACATGAGGACAAGTACTCAATCACTCAAGCATGGCGAAAGCGTACTTACACAGAGGTTCATCTTGATTTCTTAAATCGGAAGATCAGTGTGTCAAAGAAGTTGTCGCGGTACTTCGTTCCCTAAGGTATACGTTTGACTTGAATGAAAAGGAAGTTGAGATGATGCAATTTTCGTAACGGGGTGTACTCACTGAAGAAATTGAGTATTGGCCTGCGAAGCACATCCGACGCACAAGGGAAGACAAGTCTGTCGTAGGCAGGTTACGACGATAGACGTTCCGTGCGTCATTGCTACGTAGATCTGGTGATAAGATAAGTTTTACGCGTTCGAAGAGTGATTCGGGCCTCAACTAGCAAGTCCGTCACACGGCTCCTTATAAGAGGAAATCCCTACTTACTAACCATATACACGCAAAAAGAGAGTAGCGTAAGCGATGGACGTGGAGCAGATATGAACTCCATCAATGTGTTCAGCGGAACAGAAAAATCAGTGTTCAATGTGTGAAGTGAGAAGAGATCATAAGTTTTAGCGATGACTTCGGCACAAAGCCCACATTCGATGGTTATGAGTCTGAGCTTACAAAGATGTTTTACCATATTGTAGGAAGTGCAGAATACCGTGTGGGAGGGCGGGTCGATGTTGATAAATCCCGAGCCCCCGCAGCTGAGTGTATCGTAGAAGGTTCGCTAATGGGAGGTCATGCAGTCCCGAGACATGATTTACATGAGGTGTGGGGATTGGAAGAAACCTAACAGCGAAAGTTGCATGAACTCCTACATGTGAATGAGCGAAAATCTGCCAATTTTCTCCGCACCACAAGTTCCAAGGCGCGAACATAGGATGAAATTATTGCCAAACAATGGAGAAGGCTATTTCTTCGCCTAGTACGGTCATGCCAGTAGGAGCGAGGGTGAGGCTTGCGTGAGAAGAGGGAAGCAAGCTTGATATATCTCTTCGCCGACAACTGGATCTTGGAAAAGAGGTGAAGACGAGAAAGGAGTAGCATAGTGCGACACGAAAGACAGCGCTGCCACAGAGTAGATATCATCACCAAGGTTTGTCTACAGGTAATCACTTCGGTGATGTCTGACGGATTCTGCCGCCCTGCCAGTGTCGCCATGTTCATCTTTTCTAAGTCTAATGAGTAGATGTAAGGGTACCTGACACATTGGGCAAGAAGCCACTCACCAGAGAACGACTAGATAACTTTAAAAAATTAAATAACTATGTAGACTTTGCCGGACACAGCCACTGATAAGGGCTTTCGGACCGGAGCTCCGCAACTTTCCAACCTTTAACTAAACCTCGCATCGTATACGACTTGAAAATCAAAACCGGTTTCCATTCCAGAAAGCTGAAGCATGATTTATCTGGATTAAAGTTTTGCTGACTTCCGTAGTGGATGCACTATCCTCGTAGACACCATGCCAAGCCTGAAAGCCTGCCGGACGCACCTTCTCTTTATGCTGCCTATGGTATGTTTGTGCCTAAAACATGCCGATGCCACCTGGAATAAGTATCTTGTCTGCGGTGTATTAGCATCATGGAGATCGGGTTATAGAAGACTCCATATATGTTGCGAGCCAGCCACACATGCATTGCTTAACCCAGACGGAATTTCCCTAAAGGCGCCCCCACAGCTCAGAACATGTTGTTTACCGTCCCCCCCTTGCAGCTCTCTCTCACCTTCCTTATCCTATTGGCACACCGTACTCTATGTCATCATCTATGGCCGAACTACGTCGCAAACTAGTCATTATAGGCGATGGAGCTTGCGGGAAGGTCAGCTCTGTGGTTGTACGAAGGCCAAAAACTTTCTTATGACTCATAATTCAGACCTCGTTGTCCATGGTTTACTGTCAAGGACGATTTCCTACCGTAAGACCACCTTACTCTGATAAAGATTTCTCTGGAGATTTAGATTTATCGGTTCTGGCATAGGTGCATGTCCCGACGGTGTTCGAAAACACAGTCATAGACATTTACATTGACGGAAGACACATCGAAGTCGCATTGTGGGACACGGCAGGCCAGGAGGATTATGATCGGCTGCGACCACTGAGTTATCCGGACTCACATGCCATACTCATTTGCTTTGCGATCGACACACCTGACTCACTAGACAACGTTCAAGAGAAGGTTTGCTATCAAACACTTGATGATACCAACCAAATACTGAAGATACTCGTAGTGGCTTACGGAAATCCTATACTACTGCCCCAACGTACCATATCTACTCATTGGGTGCAAGAAAGATCTCAGAAGGAAAAGGCGGAATTGTGTCACCCGAGAACAGGTACAAATTCTTGATCTTTCGATTTCTGTGACTTAGAAAAATCTAATCGTGCAAGGGAATCGCTGTCGCCGAGACAATTAGTGCTAGACGCTATATCGAATGCTCAGCCAAAACGGGCGAAGGTGTACGAGAGGTTTTTGAATATGCGACACGTGCGGCCTTGACAGCCCAGACGGGAGGAGACACTGAGTGCGGATGCTGCATAGTAGCCTGATCAACCCCCCCACTTTTTTGGCATTGGCAACTTGTAATATGTGCTAACACATCGTTTGGTGATACCACAATCTCGAAATACCATTCGGATATGATTCATGCTGTGCGATCTGAATTGCCATCGAATTATAATGCCTAGTCGAATTACTGCCTAGTCGAATTATAATGCCTAGGAGGGAACTAGGTTCAAGGCGCGGTAAGAAATTTCGCAAATCTCAGTAATACACAAGTAGAGTAATCTGCCCCCATGATGTTCGTTGATACGTTCGTTGATACCTCGTGATGGAAACCGTGAGTAAAGTTCATATATCTTATACTGTCTCTTTCTCTTTGATAGTGCTTCCTGTCTCATTATCTAGGCTTCCCTCTCTTATGGAACCTTCTTT